GGGGGGGGGGGAGGGCGACGTGTGTCGCCTCTCCCGCGGAGGAGGAGATACGTACATATACACATACGTATACATGTATACATATCCCGTTTTTATTCACGCCGCGGAGACGCGAGGCTCCAAGCGCGCCCGGCTTCCGACGTGTAACATCGTCGGGCACGCGCCCCCGCGACACTTCGCCTCGTACGTTGCGACTCGGCTCTCTCGAGCGAGGCCTCGACACGTGATTGCCAATTCCGGGGGCGAGAGAGTGAGAGACGCGTCGTCTCGGTCGCGGTCGGGACTGCTTGGGGCAGAAGCGAGCGCGAGTGCCTCTCGAGTCATTGAATGAGTACGTTTCTCCCCCCCGCCCGCCCGTTCGTTCGTTCGTTCGTTCTCGTCCGTGCGTGCCGTCCGCGTCTACGGGAGCGCGTGCATCCGGTTTGTCACACGTACGCGCGAGTTCGCCGCGCGCACGCACGCACACACGCGGTGCCGCGTCGAGAGAGAGCCTCACGGCCTGGAAGGATTTTCGGCGGACGGCGTCCGTCCTCGCCCGATTCGCCGATCGATTCGCCGACGCCGCGCGCGCTCGATCGCCCGCTCGAATCCCGGGGTGGGGGTGGATTTTGCGTCGATCCCCCGCGTGCGATTGAAACTGCGGCGTGCGTGCGTGCGTGTGATTCTTGCATCCGTGCCTCTACGTCCGCGTACGACGCGAATCTGGTATGCGTATAAATGTGCGATCGTATATCTCGCTTTTTATGCGCGGCCGCGTACGTGTGTGTGCGTGTGTGTACGCGTGTGTGAGCGAGTGCGCGCGATGCGTGTAGGTGTGCGGTGGCGCGCGCGAACGCACGTACAGATATTGTTGTTCCGTCCAGACCTATGCCAGACAGCCATATTGCAATTTTTTTTTAACTCCTCTCTCTCTCTTTCTCGTTAACCTAGCCTCGGGTACCGCCGGATAATCTCTTTTGTTCTCGCGCGCGGCTCGATCGCGCCGCTCGGGCGAAACGCGAGCGGGCGAGATCCCCCTTCTACGAGGCGACCGAGTCCGGCGCGGTGCTCCGGCTGGTTCCCCGGCCCCGGCCCCGGCCCCGCGAGGCCCGTCTTTGTCTTTGTCTCCCGATGACGTTCCCGCGTTCAGCGCACGCTGCCTCTTCCGACGCCGAGGACGGCGCGTCGCTTCCCTCGCCAGCTGAAAGTGGGCTCGCTCGAGTCGTCGCTCGAGTCTGATTATTTAGGACTCGTCGCGGTCGCGTTCTTAGTGAGTGAGTGAGAGAGCGCGAGAGCGAGCGAGAGAGAGAGAGAGAGAGAGAAAGTGTGCGGGGGCCCTCGGGGAATCGCGGGCGCCGGGACGTCAGATTCGTCATTTGTTTCGTTAATTACGGGCGTCCGAGAATAACTCGCGGCGGTGGATGCGTTTCTCCGAATCCCGTTTTCTAACGCGCGGTGCGTCGGTGCGAGCGCCTTTGTCGAAGGTTCTTCTTTTTTTTTTTCTTCCCCCCATTGCGCTTTCCATTAACGCGCGCCCCGCGTGAATGCGCCGCTTTGTTCAATTATTCGTGCGCTGGCGACGCGCGCGCGAGAGAGACAGAGAGAGAGACTAGGTGTTCGCGGTCCGTTCTTATTTCGACGATCGCGTTAAGACTATATTTAAGACGCGGGACGGTCTCGCGGACGGACCGCTGCCCGGGGGTGTCAATTCTGTGTCCTGCGGTGTAGTGAAGATGTTGAAAGCGAGCGCCTTCGTCACGCTCCAAGGGGACGGCTGGCAGGAGACACAGCCTTTCCGGCATCCTCGCTGTTAGCGCGGGATAGAATTGACACCCTAGCTTGGACTCGTGATCAGAATTGCCTCCGTCTCCCCTAGAGAGCGCGATAGAGGTCTAGGAGATGACTGAGCAATTCCGAACATTTCCATGCTGGGCCACCCTCTTTATCGTCCAAGGTCCAGTTTCACAAACGTCGGTTAACTGTTGACCAGAGTTCGATCGACTTCCTATCTTTCTCTATCTTGTTATCCAAGGAGAGACTGAGGATCAATTAACCATGGGTTAAACGACGTTTGTGAAACTGGCCCTAAAGGCCTGTGTCCACGATGCTAGAACTTGATCCAAGTTCTAGTTCCGAGAAATGTATAGCCAATCAACTTGCAACTTTTATGGAATAGCTGCGATAATAGGCCTTTAGAGATAGTCTCCGAGTTTTGTGTGACGTTTGGCTGCCAAGCGCGCTCGAGAACGCCGTACAATCTATCTGAAATTGCGTGGATTCCGAATTACCTTGAACTCATTCTAATCTTTTCTTACAGATTTGTTTTACGCTGAGCTACGACCATGGAAACTGGAAATAACTTGCCCAGCCCGGGCACTTATCCCGGCGGGGATCGCCAGCAGTTCTGTGTCTCTTGGAACTCTCATCAGTCGAACATGCACAGTGCGTTTCCAAAGCTACTCAGCTCGGAGCAGTTTGTCGATGTGACTCTGGCCTGTGACGGAGGCTCGATAAAGTGTCACAAGGTTGTGTTGTCCGCCTGCAGTGACTACTTGGAGCGCCTACTGTTGGAGATACCGTGCACCCACCCCGTTATCTTCCTCAGAGACATGAAGATGTGGGAGCTTCAGGCCCTGGTCGAGTTCATGTATCGCGGCGAGGTGTACGTCGAACAGCAACAGCTGGCTACATTGATGCAAGCGGCGGAAGTTTTGCAGGTACGCAAGAATCTGGCGCTTGTTACGTCTCCGACTGCGGCCACTTCTTTTCCCTTCGACGAGTGCCGTCGTAACGAAGGCTAATATTGCACGAATACCTTGCTTATTTCATTGAGCAAAATAGTAGTTGTTTCGCGCCCGAGTCCCTGTTTTCACCGGCGTCGTTTGACATTGATCCTATCTCGATTCGTGTAACTGTCCCCTCAGAAAGAGGTGAAAGACAAAGTTGAGACCAAGATCGAGATTGAACGACGCTGTGGAAACCAGGGATTAGAGTAGCAATACTGGAATTACATGGCGACTGTATACATACAATTTTTTTTCCTTCCGTATGCGAGAGACCACCTGACAATATGTTGTACGTTCTCCGTCAGATTCGTGGCTTATCCACTCAGGGAAGCGATAACTCGGCGAGCGAGAGCAATACGCAATCGTGCGATTCTAACGCGCCTGTCACCCCGTCGACTCCTACTCACGGCGACAGCAACTTCAAGGTGGAAACCTCATCCAACGACGAGACCTCCTCTGACTTCCTCTCATGCCCGACAATGACTAACACGGGAAACAACTCTGCCGCCATCACACCACCTGCCTCGCACAATCCCAACTCCTCCAACTACGTCAACATGGAGCACAGCGAGGCGCTGCAGCATTTAGAAAAAGCCCTCAGCGCCTGCGAGGCGACCCTCACCGAAACCACGGGTATGGTGAAAATGGAGCCGGACGAGCAGTTTGTACAGCAGCAGGAAAAACCGTACTCCATTAGCATGGTGTCCAGTAATAATTGCAATCCCAGCAGCCCATTTCCCGCGATCGAAGGTGAGCCTTGGGGTCCAATTGTCTCTCTCGCCCGCGACGGCGCTTATGCACGTTTAGCGCACGCTAAATATCGTCGCGTCTTTTCAAGGTTATCAAAGACGACAAAGGCGTTCGGAAGAGGAACTCAAGCAAGCTTCGGACATGGTGGCACGCGGCATGACGTTTCAAGTAGCCTCGGAAAAGTACAAGATACCGATCAGCACAATCCGCTTCTACATGGTCAGAAAGGGCATTTTACAGAGGCGAAAACGCGGCCGCGGCTCCAGCAATCTCGGTATGAACAGCCAGCCGAGCAGTCCGGCCAGTCCACCGTATCATATGATGAATTATCGTTTGCCGGAGAGCCTAAATTCCAGCCTACCGTAGTGCTGTACAAAGAAGTAGTGAGTTTTTTTAGAATTCAGTTTTGAATCGGACAAACTTTTTATCGCCACATCATCAAAGAGCTGTTCCAGACGTTGGTTTTTTTTATATACTTTTTAAGCTCCCTTACACTGAGATAGCTTTTATTTTATTTTCCTCTACTCTCCCCCCTTTTTTTTTAATTTTATTTTCAGTTCATCACGCATCATTCTTCATTCGTACTCGTAGCGGCGTGCTCGCGCGCTGGTTTACAAGACTACTATGTTTAGAGCGTATAACGTATTTCTGCATTTATGCCATTATCGATTCAGTGTGCATTCTGGAGATATAATTTGTGTCTCGAACAGCTCCGCTCCATGTACATACAAGGAAAAAGAAAGCTACCATATGTAAAAGTTCGAACACAGCATTAAGTTAAGGAACTTAGCAGGCGATTGTGTCTTACATCGTGTTTATGTATCTTATTACCGTGTTTATATATGTATGTTTGTTGAATTCATTGTCCCTGGAAAGACTGCCTGAGAAGAATCCCGGTTTTTTATTTTTACTTTTTTTTTTAGTACAAAGATACAAATTGTTCTGCGGAGCTCAGTAAACACCGACAGTTACATAACGTTGATACTACAATCTCCTACTCATCGATGTAACAATTATGTACAACAAGCGTTACATTACATTGATATTGAGTGAGAAATTGTAACATTGATGTTATGTAACTGTCAGTTGGTGTTTAATGGGAGTATATTGGGTCATTCGTATATATATTTAGAATGTATTATAAAAACGCTGCGTGAAGCTAGCAGCAGATTATCCGCGTAATTTGCGGTTCGCTTTTCGTAAGAGATTCGCGTGTGGCGTGAACAGAAGCAGAGATTCGTTTGTCAGTACAGAGTGCATTTTGGCAAAAGCAAAAGGCGTGAAACGTCGCGAATTGATCGTGACTTTTTTAAGATGTACCATAGAGCAAAGCCTTACATAAGGAACCAAAAATAGCAAGGATACATTATTGGTAAATAAGGATGTTGGATGACTTAGTGATGTAGAAAAATTGCTTATCATGTAGAAGGACAAGAGTGACAAAGAGTGGAGGAGTTTGTTTCTCGATCTTGTCGTTCGGTATATGTTATTTTTCCAATTTTGAGATTTGAATTTATTCCCTCAGGACACGAACAAATTCAAAATCTTTTCCGACAGTTGTATTTCAGAAAGTATAATCGAAACGGATTGAAAATCATTCTTCTATACTCGCTAACATCCTAAATTTCTTTGATATCTGCGACTTCCAACGTCCTTGATTTACTCGGTAGGCGTTTCGTATATGATAAATGTAGATGAGAGTCTCCCTATTATAAGATAGACTTCTGATACGAAATAGCAATTCTGCTAAATTAATGGATATCATTGTTGATTCTGTTCATCATGAATCAAATTAGAATACGCTATTCTTTTACGTGAATGGATTTCCGTGAATCTACTGCGAATCGGGAATCGTGAATCACGAATTTAGGTCACGTACAATGTGACATTAGCTTTAAAGGGGCAGCCTATTTTGAAGTTTTGGAATTTTTTCTTGATAATACGCGGAAAGACAAAAATAGAAGAATTTTTACGATAATACTCTCTTTTACGTGGAACAGAAGAGACGTGTTGAAGATACATGAAAAGTTTCACATGCTCCGTTTCTGGAAAGTAAAAGCTGACGTTTTCAAAATGACGGTGCTTTAAAGCCAAATTTCTAATTTTTATCTTGTAAAATTATTTATGTATGACACTTTTTTTTTATTTTTGATACATTCAAATTCTCAACATAGTATGAAAATGATGTGAAAATTATGTGAAAGTCCTGTCAAGTTAGAAAAAACGTGGATTGCACGTTTTCTGAGATACGCCTACTAATTTGAAAGAAAAATCGCCGAGAAAAGAAACAAGAATTGTTGAGAAAGTACTTCTTTGGAGGGTTTTGAAATAAGCTGCCTTTTTAATATTTCGTTCTCTCGTACAAAGCACAAAGGAACTGTATACGTACGAGAACTCGCGTGTCATCCATCGTGAATTAATATCGGAAATATTAATTCTATATTTATAAGTGCTTGCATTGTAACGGCGTCAAACTTATAAGAGATATGGCATTAAAGATCAAAACAGTAGGTTGAGCAAATGTGAACAAATGTCTTTAAAATCTTATTATTTTGAGACTTTTTTATACGCAGGATTTGTATGTAAACGCAGACGATGAGAGGTATTACTGGACGATAATACGAATTGTATAGAATATTCATATATCTACGATAAGAATTCCTTCATGCTGTGGACGAACGCTACGCGTATGGTTGGTGTCAGCCGTGTTCCGTTCTTCTACTTAGTGACAGATGTAGTTAGCTTATATGGATAGTAATGAGATACGTTTTTGAATCCTGCATCAATATCGTTCGTAGAGATTTACAAGATTTACAAAGTACAGTTCAAAGAAAAAAAAAGGAAGGAGAAAAGACAAAAAAAAAGCAGAAAAAGAGAAAAAGAAGATTGACTATGTCAAATAACCGATATTTTTTTAATGACCTCGAAATGTTTTGACAAGGGAAGGCATTCGTAGCATAAGTTATTTTTTATTACACATCGTATTTATATATATGGTTCAGTGAAGCTCATCTTGCTCTCGTTAAGTTATCTGTGGCATCTGTACGGCATATATGTACGTATTTACCGAGTATTTATCTTTCTGTATTTTTAAATAAGCCCCACAGAAATAGAGAGATTCTTAATTATGACACGCTTTATATTCTGCACCAGAGAGTGACGCTTAAAGATCAAAAATGTATACAGTTATAGAAAGACAGGAGGGGTTGTCCATGATCGATTAGTCACTATGTTTAAGACTGGTAACACGTGGCTAATATAACCAGATTAAAGTCTTAGACACAGCAATCCTCAATCTATTATATAAATATTTTTGTAGGCACTTTGTCGAGGAAGGTTTCTTCTTTCTGCCTTTATTCTATATATACCTTGATAACTTATACAGTAAGAGGAACCGGTATTTATTCGAACTTTACCATTTAGCTTTGTTGAACATCACAAGAGATGAACGATCATGATACGTATGTAGTGTAATGCTTTTTACATGCATAGTGTACAAATAACAGCATTTGTAATTGACGATAAGAATTACCTGTTGTCTGTAAAAATCGAAACGCCAGTCTCACGTTGTTTTTACGGACACTGGTTCTGCCTTTTCAAAGAAGTTTAATTGTGTGACAACAACTGTGGCGCGCATACAATGTAATTGTACGGTGTATTGCCTTTGTTAAATAGCATTTTGGATAAAGCCATATTTTTCCATGCAACGCAATAATCCAGCAAAATAAATTACAGTTAAACTGAGAAGCAGCCTAAAATAGGAAAGAGTGCCAGATACAAAACAAAAGTGGATATGAACAATAACACATAGAAGATAAAGTAAAGTTTATCTATCACTTAGAGTATGTAACTGCCTTTCTCTGGCCTCATACTGGATCATTAATTTATTTATATTAGACAATATACAAGATACATGTAAAGGGAAGGAAAAAAAAACTAATCTAACTTAGAAGGCTTGTTAGAGCTTGGATTAATTGCAGTAAGACTGCTGCCATCCGACTGAACACATTCTCAAGACGCTGAAGTTGAACATTTAATCGAAACACATGTCACAGATCTTACATGATTGTATTTATTCTCATTTATCATTTCTTTATGCAATCATTACGTATTTGACAGACGCGATTGTCTCTGTACATTTTCACCATATATCGAGATATATTGGAAAAGCAAGGAAAAGAGAAAGGAAAGAGAATCAAGCAGTAGATTGGATATTGTAATGTTAACGCAAACTGAAAACATGACTTGCAATTGTTGCCTGTTGTAATGTCCAATGAGAGTTGAATTGTAATGACTTACTCGTATATGGCGTCCCTTCCAGCAAGGGATCGGTATCGTGTAAATCATTATTCTAAGAGTTCCAGTTGACAAAGGTTTTATACGGATCTATTAAACCCCAGTATTCCAAACCAATGAAAAATAATTAGTTTTCTAATAATAATGATACAATACAATTTTATGTGAATTTAGTACAGTGCTTAAGTCAGTAATGCTCAGCGTATCTAACAAATATTTTTAGTGGAACTCCGTGTCATACTCACATGTATCATAACGTCTTAAAGTATGTAACTAAACCACAATCAAAGAAGTGTGAACGATACTTAATGACTATTATCATAATAGCCACTTATGATAGCAGTAAATAGGTAGCCATTTTGAGGCAGTTTATAATTATATTTAATTACACTGTGTATCGCTTTGGTCTCTCCGTTTTTACGATGGTATTATTATTTGTAGATAGAATACATAACTCTAGAATCGATGGAACCTCGAATCATTTATTTGTAAGTCTTTTTTACAGTTACCGAATATCTAATTGATTAAATAGGCAATGCAATTAAAACAAAAGGAAAAAAGAAAAAAATTACACACCACGCTCATACACACGCACGCACACACACACACACACACATACACATAAATACCTACATAAATACGTGACATACAGAGATCTGTTCGCGTAACCAATACGATTGTGGTGGATGTCGTCGTTTGATTTTTGTTAACTTTTCATGTACGAGCGGTTAAATACGATTGCATTCAGTTGGCAACAAGCATTGGCGTATTTCGCGTAAGAGCCGATTGTTCCAACATCTTGACAAGCTACTGATTAAATTATGTCTATCTCTGTCTAATTAAAAACAGAGACGTGTATGCGATTTAACTGTTGGTTAACTCGAGGGGTTGAAACAATCTGCCCTAAAAGTAGTATTTTTATATTTTCTTTTTAGCTTAAGTTTTTACTTTTAGTGATTCAATTGATAGAAATTTAATTTACATTACGTTAAACTTAAGAGGAAAATTTCCGGCGTAATACTTTCTGCGCGGTCTGAGTAAGGACAACTACAATGTGCACACGTTAGAAATAAGGCGGACATCGAGATATTTTCGACTGTTCGATTTACCCGATTTACACTTCTTACTATTATTACGTCGGAAAACGTTTATGAGAAAATCTTACGTTTAAATATGTTAGTCAATTGCAAACAATAATCTTCTTAAGAAATTATCGTCTGTTGTAGTACATATAGTTGCTTGCCTATTTACTACGAAGGAAATTACATGCTTTGATGTTTTGTGAATGACTTGTGTAGCAACAATAGACGAGATTGACTTGTAAACGTTCATTTTTCTAACTGTAGCGTTACAGAAATCTAATTATTACGATTATCATTAGGGATTTGTATGTTGTATCAGAATTATACAATGCCATATTACGCCGAATCGCCGCCGACGCTTCGACCGTTGTTCCCCCGAGCTACTCGTTACTCAGTTCCCTTCGCAGTACTCGCGCGACACTGTCCCGAGCGATTCAGTATTATATATTGTACATCACGTGCGAAAGCCTTTGACTGCGTCCGTTCACACGGTTTAGATCCTTAAGCATTAGAGAGAACTTTGTAGAATAGTCCCCATTATAGTCAACACTTATTATTACTACACGAATGTACATTTTGTGCGCTGTTGCGTCGAGGAGCACCGCATTCGAGGACGCTTCGGCGAGCGGTGGACCCGAAGGCAAACGAGACCACGAACGAACGTGGATCGAGCGTAACGTTCGCTTCTTTCTCTGATGTATCGAGGGAAGATGATTTTCATTGGTTTCATCATTTTGTGATTGATACACATTGAGGCAAGCTCGTTCGTTTGCTCGTTCGCGTTTGCTCATCCTGTGAAAGTCAATCAGTGGATTATCACTGAACATTCACTGATTCGCAGTTATAAGTGCAGCACTAAATTATTCAGTGCTTTACTTACAACTGTTTTCAATGATAATGCACCGATTGATTTTCAGAGAGTACGCTCCGCGCTACGTCGGGACACGCGCGTGTCACCATCCGCGCTTTCGAGCGCAATGTCGCATCGACGCCTCGTCGCAGCCGCGCCACGCCGGAAATTAATTGTACCGCGTCAATTAATTTCTTCGTCGTCGCGGCTCTCTTTCTCTCGTCGGGGACTGTTAACGCACATAACGCAATTCGGTTCTGTAAACGCCAGTATGAATATGTTTCGCGTACGATTGCCGGCGATGGCGTGGCGACGTGCCTCGATCAGACTGTTGTCGTAAGCGGGATTTGAATACGGATGTACCCTCGAGAAGCGTGCGGATTCAGTGTAATACGGCAAGAGATTCACGTGTATGCGAAAAATACATGAAACTGACAAACACGTGCTTACGCGCACACGAATGCGCATACATTGTACGAGTATAGAAGAGACATATAAGGGACGAGGGAGAGATTGAGAGCTGAGCCGACTCGACTCGACTCGTCTCGTCCCGCCGACTGTAATATAATTTTCGCAGAACGTACCGTGCCGTTCGGTTTTTGCTGATCGCAACAAACCAGCTTTTATAATTCGCGTGTAAGGTCACCGTCAGGGTGTAAGATCTTAAGCAAAGTTGGTTACGGGTGTCGTTATATAGTAAGGCACCGCGTATATAGCGAGCAAATAGAGGAGAAAGGGAGTCCAGTGAGGAGATTAAAGAAAAAGAAACTGTGGAGAGAAACACAAATGTTAGTGCGTAAGAATGAGGATTATTGAGCGTTGACAGATCGGAGTTGCGTAGGAGAGAAAGGGTCTTTCCAGCGCAACGGATATGTCGTGAGTGTAAATGACACTTTTGAAAGTAGCCTGACTTCCGAAGGGAAGAGAAAAAGAAAGAGATTGGAGCTACGGTAGAGGTAAACGTAAGGCGAACTTTGCTAACGAATGCTCGAATGTGCGAAATTTGCGTTTGTCACCGACAATCCGGTTCACTAACGCTTGTCCTGATTTTTTATTTTAATCGCAAATTAACATGTCATTCGGGAGCTTCGTCGCAAGATATTCTCATCTGCAGAGCAATTTAAAACCATTATATGTATTTTTAGAAGTATATACAATGATTTAAATTTTGCATATATACATATATATATATATATATATACAGTAGCGAAACTAGCTCTTCGTGTGCTCTCTACAAGGTTTTGTTTTGGGGCCCCTCAGTTGTTTTTTTTTTGAGGAAAAATAAAATAAGTATGACATAAGACGATTGTTGCGTCGTTGAGAGGTCGAGCAATTGCTATATCGCTCAATAACGCAAATTTACAATTTAATAAATTCAAAATTTAAAAGTTTGAAAAATCGAACATTTGGAAAGCACTCCATTTTTTTTGTTAGTTCCGTTTCAGGGCCCCCCTCTCTCCTGTCTCGGGTCCTGTGCCTGTGCACCTGTTGCACGTGCCTAGTTACGGCGCTGTGTATATAATATATATATATATTATATGTACACAATGGCCACGCACTTGTATAGATGAGTTTGTTAACACACGTGTAGTAGAGACTCGCGTTCAACAATTCTTGCTGCAGAGAGAATGCCTCGCCTTCCCCCCCTCATCTCCTCTTCCCGATTACAATCGTTTGATTTTTCGCCACGCGTAAGAATTGCGTCGTGTGATCTTTTCTTCCCAAAAATTCTGCCGGATCATCAGTTGAAGCGGAGCGCATATTTCGATACATTCGTTTAGTATTGTATCCGTTGTATTGTAAGGACTGCATTTTAAGGATTGTAAGTAAAGAAAAGGGATTGCTTGCGGAACAAAATATGAACATCCAACTCGAGTAATTTTAAGGTCGTGTAACATGTGTTAGTGAAAAAGCATGCTTCTTAGTAGGGAGTTAGGATGATGCATAACAATAACTATTATAATTGAAATTAATTATGAATATAAGGTATTTAATATAAGTGCAAAATATTTCCTAATAAAAAGTATTGCTGAAAAAAAAAATATATATATATATCCGCATGTGTCCTGCGCTCTTTCGTCGCTCTCGCGCGCTCAGGTATCCGCTTAGCGAACGCAAATTGAACCTTTGTCGCCACGGGGAGTCGAGGGGGAGACTGAAGGGACCCACAGGTTTTTCTCGGTACGAGAAGAGACTCGCGCGCGCGTGTGTGTGTGCGCGCGTAGTCGTCTTTCTTCGCGGTTTTCTCTTCATTTATCACGTACGTGGGTCTCGGTCCGGCCATCGACCTTGTTTTCGCACCTCCCCCAAGGTCTCGACCGAGAATGAGGCCCGGTCTGTATCAATCGACGCTTGACCTACGGGGCACCGGTTTACCTCGGGCGTTCGAAATCGCCTCTTACCGTCATTTTTACGCCAAGATCTGCGGGACCACGCGTACAAAGCATTTAATGAACTCTATCCGTAACGCCACTTGATTCGGAAGAGCGACCCACGTATCTGCGTTTGTTTAAGTCTCGATAACTTGTCGTTAGGTCAACGTTTTCGATTTATTGGTGCGTGCAAAGTAATGATTGATGATTTGATTTTTGTGTTTCCGTGAGACCCGTGTCTGACTACGAATTGAGATTCCCCAGTAGCACATCGCACCGGCTGAACATCTCAAAAATTTCTCTCCGCGCAGGTTCAGCGATTTTTACTCCAATCGGTCAAATTTCAAATTCTAATCCCGATGTCAATCCGTAGTCTGGTACGCGCTTAAAAGTTCCAGCCGTTCGAGTCGCGACGCACTCGCGTATATATCGCCGTCGTTTTCCACGGGCGAAAAGAAAGCTGTGGAGATCGTATTTGAAAATTGCGAGGGGATTCCTCTTTTTTAATTTACATTCGCAGTGAGAGCGCGTGAATAAAAATCAAGCTCCATCCTGTGAAGCAGAGCCGTGTCTCTCTGCGCGTTTTCGGAACATTGACGGTTCCCAAGCGAGATCGTCGAAGTGACGCCTCGTTTTCCTTGGAAAAATCCTCTACGTTTGTTATACGCGAGAGAAAAACAATTCTCTCTTCCACCCCCTTCCCCCCGTTGGCTCCGGTGTCACCGTCCCGCTCTCGGTCGCGCGCGCGCGGACGGGAAATTCAGAGAAATCGCGGGCTGTTCGGTTTAATTTCGGCTCGGAGAAGATCAGTGAACTTTCTGAAAGACGTAGTTGTAGACAACGGGACAGCGGAGTTGTTGCTCCGTTATTACATACGTATCCGGCGGGGGGGAGGCAGGGGGGTGGTGCGGCAGGAATCTCTTTGTGCGTGCCGCCACGTGCGCGTCGTGTCATGCGCACGATATTTACAGAGCGCCGCGCGCTTACTGTAAATTGAACTTGTTGCAACAAAACATTCCATTATCGCAGATATTATTGACGTACAATTGTCGGTCGAGTGGTCTCTCGGAGATGCGTCGTTTAGAATCGTCGACGGCGCCGAGGGTGACACGGGGTGGTCGCCGGGGGTGTTCGGAAAGGAAAGCGACGCAGCCCGCGTCGTGAAAATTATTATCGAAATTAAGTAATTATTGATAATTTGATTTTTATGATCACAAGACACTTCTGTGAATATTTCGAGAATATTCTTGAAGAATATGTGGAATACTCCATAGGTCATTCTTATATATTTGTCTTATAGTTCTGACAAACGTTGATCTCTCGATATTTTAATGCTATCAGTCTTCTACCGACCTTTCACAACAATTGACGTCTTTAAAAAAAATTTTATATCTACTCCATATGGGTGCAGAGTGATTCGTTCCTCCATGTATTCTTATATTACTACCAATGTCACCCATTTTTTGCTGTCACATCCAATGGGTTGTTAAGAATTTTTAATACTTGATAAGGACCAGTATTACTGGTCGAAACGTTGTATGTTTTAAACGAAATATATTGTGCCAGTTAATTGTCGACGTTATCCTTATTATTTGTTCTTTATTTACTGGCGATCCATCTCTTCAAGTTTTTATTTGTCTTATGTTCGTAGAATATTCGAACTGGCACTACTATAAATCTTTTTCGAATGTCAATAGAATGATCTATCGATTATAGCGTGTCGGTTATACATGGTACGACGACAGGTTTCACCGCCTTTTGCATAAGATAAATGTATTACACAACAAACAATGTGCAATACGTAAACTCGATGGATATTGAAAAATTATTCTGAACGAATATTCCACAGACAGTCTCGGCGAATATTCAAAAAAACGTTCTTCTTTGTTATGAATGTACGACTTCTAATTGTAATAATCTATGCGCATTTATAGAATATTCGATTGGAATATTCTGAAATTAAGAATACTTGCACTCCAGAAGAATATTCATAGGACTTTGTGTGCTATCTGGGACTCGGCATTGATTAAGCATTGGCTAAACATCTCAAAAATTCTTTCCGTGCAGGTTTAGTCATTTTTACTCTAAATTTACTTCGTCATTTGACGTTTACTTGATTTACCACACAGACGTACGCGAATTATGTATCTTGAAAAAAAGTTACACTAAACGGTCAGGGAAAAATGAATTCCGGCTCCTGGAAAACCTGAAAAAGTCAGGGAATTCTTTTCATTGAGTCTGCTGGACACCCTATTTACATTATTTCAATGTTGCGCCGATATATTGTGCCGCTAGGTTGATTGTCGCGTGTCACCATCGCAGTTTCGATAAATGCGCGTTTTCACGGCGATTGCGCACCGATCGTCAACACGGATGGCAAAATATTTTCCAAAACAAACGCACGTGAGCCGCGAGCGGGTGACGTCGCGAGGGGTTCGATGACGTTCGCGGTTCCGCTTCCTCCCCCAGGAGACCGAGAGGAAAGGGGTGGTCGTCCCCGTAGCCGCGCTGCGAGGTGGAGAACGCGTCCTCCCGTCTACGCGCTAAAAGACAAAAATTGCGTAGCAGCCAAAAGACACATGCGCGAACTCCCGAGTGCGTACCCCTTTGTGTTATTTTCGGGTGGCGAGTCGCGCCGCCTCGCCGGAGGCTTTAAATAGGACCGGGTCGCCCGACGAAGAAGGCAGTTCTCGCGACACCGTTCCTACATGCTGGAGCATCGTACCGTCTTTGACGTGAGTAAACAATAAACGCGGTAAACGTCAGGTTCATCCGACGCGGACGGGGCGGGCGAGAGATCGTCGATCGTCCGAGGGTTGAGCTGTCAGTGATCGAAGCACTGTCCTCGCAAGATAGGATATCTTTCTCCCTCGACGCGGTGAGACTTTCGATTGATGCAAGACTGAACGGTAAACCGCTGAAAAATTGCGACGTTACTCGATGGCTATGATTTCTGCCGGGAACTCTTCTCGGAGACCGCGTCCACTCTGAAGAGTTTTACGAGTAAGATCTGACAACTGGTCCCTCCTCATCTAACCGTCTCTTCCCTCGAAAGTCAATTGGCGGCTCGAAATCGAGGAACGATATCGTTCGTTAAAATGAAAATCGGGAGGACCAAGTGAAATGTCCTGACAATTGAAATTTTTTAATTAACAGTTCACCTCTGGCAACGAGTTCCCTACACGTGTACATTATATTTTTACTCCGCACGTAAAGAGATGCACTCCGGAATTATTAAAATGCCCGGACGAATAATTTAATAATGCGTTGCTATCGGGAATCGGTGTGTTTAACGGTACACCTTTAGTTTCACGTTCAGCGATGGACGGTTTTACGACGAAAGCTCTCAATCGCGTCGTGCGACAGATGTCAAGCCGTAATATCTGGGGCGCGCTACTGCCGCTTCGATACCTGAAGTATTACGGCAAATTGCGCGACATTATCAAGATCTTGCATCAATCCGGGGCAAATGTTTACGATAGTCGGATATACGCGGCGAAAATTGGCAGTGAATATCGGCTCTTTTGCGTCGTTACCGCGCTGGTGAGAGATCGATCTTGATCTTACGAGGAAACTAAGAATACGCCGGGCGATGCGAGATTATCAGCGATCCAAGAATCGCGGGGCGTTTCGTTATCGGAGCGACTTTGGTTCTCGCGTTGTTTCCCCGCGAATTAATTTGTCCCAAGTCAGTAATGTAATTTTTATGACGTACGGAACTAGCCCTCGCGATTACAACGATCCGCGCTTGGTCGCGCAGACTTTAATTAAGTTCTAGCTCTCCTTGACGTTATAATTTAACCAAAATATAGACGCGGGGAAGGAGAGAGAGAGAGAGAGAGAGAGGGAATTTCCTTAACTAAATTTAGCAATAAGCGGTTCCATTGAGAGGAACCGTGAGAATCAACTTTAAAGTTGTCGGGCGCGAATCTGCGCCTTTCGGCAAACTCGACGGGGCAGATTCCGAAATCGCGCGATTAGGTCCACCCCTCTCGAATCGGAGAGGACGATTCGGATCGTCTGTCGCACCGAGCCACGCGATTGTTCGCGCAACAAAGGGACAAGGTGGCCGAGGCGGTGAGCGCGTCGTGCGCCAGATCTTCGCGGAGGCGCAGACTGCGTGATTCTCGATCGACGACGCCGCGGGACTTCCGGCATCATCGCCAAAATTGCGCCGTCCTCTTGGCAGAGCCTCTGCTGCTCGTGACGCGCGTCAGCGAAGTTCCCCGCCGCGGCAACGGCGATTGCATTGCTCGCCCATCGTCGGCCAAATCGTGTCCCGCGAAGACCGTTGCGGGAGAATCTTCGCGCTTGCGGCTGCGTCCCACGGCGACTTACACCAGCGATGTCCGGGATCTGGAATTTACGTAACATACTCTACGATCTGTGGCACTCTGTAAAATTTATCAGCTCACCTTCCGACCTTTTTGTCATTTTTTTCTTCAGCCGACGTCCTTGCTGCATCCTTGCGCAAGTTCCGTTGCGGTAGAAAAGATTGTAAATCGCGGGGGTGCGAGAGGAGAACCTGAGAAACAATACGCGGGGTCTCGCTAAAACCAAAAAAAATACGTTCGTTATCTTCCCGCGTTAACAATTTGAAACGTCAGTTAGAAATTGATTAAGATAGGCCGCGGGACTACGTGCTGTTCAAATATCTGTCTAACATTGCGAGAGCATAAGCCGATTCCTATTATTAATCTCCCTATCTTGTTGTATTGCAGATTTGTCGGATTTACGTGCTCGTGTAAGGCAAATCAGACTCGATATTAAAGTGCGTATCAACGTTAGATACACGTTAACAATGCATGTCACGTACCGTTCTGTCTTCGCGGCCTCGACGAGAGCGTCTTTTCAGCGTTCCGCGGGAGACGATTTCCGCGCCGTTAGAAATAACGCCGAGGACGTTACGTGTCGACGGGCACCGTCGACGGACCGTCTCGACGATACCCGAGGGTCGATTCTGCATCTGGCAGTACAGTGAAAATGGTGAAAGCGCGCGGCTTTTCGTCCCTCTCCAAGGGGACAGTTCGAAGGAGACAAAGCTACTCACTTTTAGCATTTTCACTATAGTGCGAGATACAGGAATTGACCGTCTCTGCTAACGCGCGAGATGATGTGCGCGCGTTACGCAATCTCCCTCCCGTTCTTTCTCTCATCTCTAGCTATCTCTTTGCGTTGCGCCACGTAGATGCCGACCGAGTGCATCGCCAACCCGTTGCAACGGGAGCTGGCCGACTCGATAATACGGCTGCAGCCGCTCGACGAGATCCGCATCCTCCTGGCGTGCGGCGCCAAGCCGAACGAGCCGGTCACCCAGGGCCTCAGGCCCCTGCACTACGCCGTCTGGCAGCGGTACACCGAGGCCGCCCAACTGCTGCTGGTGCGCGGCGCCGACATCGACGCCACCGACGAGTGCGGCTACTCGGCCCTGCATCTCGCCGCTGAACACGGCTACCTGGACCTGGTGAAGCTGCTGCTCAAGTATGGCGCCAAGGTGGACCACCGGCAGGACACGGGGGAACTTTTCCCCAGGTACGTCGCGCGACTCTCACCCCGCTTTTCATCAACGCCGTTTAACTTTGATCTTAGCGCTCTCTGTCTCTCTCGTCATATCATCTTTTGTCTCTTTCTGAGGGGACAGTTGGAAAGAGACAGAGGACAGATTGAACTAAGATCGAAGAAACGGGCGGCATTAGTGGTCGACCGTCGTCGTCGAAGTCTTTTCAAACACTCGTGAAGACCCGATGTAATTCTCGCAATCTCCTCCGACTTAGGACCATGTTGTGCGACGAGCCGCTGCGCTTGGCCCTGCGGAACCGCCACGTCGAGGTCGCGAGGATCCTGCTCGAGGCCGGCGCAAATCCGAACAAGAGATACTTCTTCGGCTCCGAGATCAATCTGGTGTCGCCCTTGGACCTAGAGTGTATGGAGCTGCTGCTGGCCTTCGGCGCTCATCCGAACGCGCGGGATCGCGCCGGGCTGACGCCCCTCATGAAGGCCGCCAGACTGCCGCAGGTAAGCGGAATCGGCGAGGCGGAGTATTTGCTCGTCGACCAACAAACGCGGGACCCCTTATTTCCCGCCGGTTCAGAGCCACCTAGAAGTCACCGGAGACGTTCCATTTTTCTCAAATTTTCTCCCTCCCTCAGACACGCTTTTCCAAGTACTTTGAAGTAATCGCCCTCGAATTTGCTAAGATCGTTACGAAATCGCGGAGAAGCTGATCGCTGAATGTCGCAGGGAATATCCTCGGTGCTTCTGCTGCTGAGCTACGGCGCGGACGTGAACGCGACGGCGGACGCCAGGCACGATTACCGGACGGTGCTGCATTACGCGATCCTCGGCGGCGACCCGACGGTGATCAATCTGCTGCTGAAGCAGGGCGCCCGGCTGGACCTCGGGCCGGACTATCAGAAACCGACGGCCCTGGATCTGGCCGTGCTCAAGGGCGACCCGTCGCTCGTCGAGATGCTGCTCGAAGCCGGTGGGTATCCCGGGGCCGATAACGCGCTGGCATACGGCCGAAATCGCGCGGCATCCGAAGGCCGAATACGCGCGTCCGGTATTAAATCTATCCGTGTCGTATCGAGCCTTTTCTCGCTCTCGGAGCACGGCACGCGATCGTAGATAGACCTCGCGGCCGCGTCGCGCCAAGAACCGATATCTCTTTCATTCGGATAAGCGCGCGACCCAGGGCGAAATCGTATCCGAAGCGATATCTCGACAATCTAATCGAATTGAAGTGCTCCGGAGACGAAGACGAAAAGATTGCATTCTCTCGATCGCGGTTCCCGTTGCCGAGCACTTCCTCGAGTTTTTTCCCGCGAGGACTCGGCTCTTGTATTCCACGCCCGGGCTTGGTACTCGAGAATAACTGAAGCCCCGAGACACAGCACCGAGCTGACGATGCACGAGATTAATTATTAATCCTGCACAAAGAGGCTACTGACGAAATTGATTGTATTCCCCAGGGGCGGACGTGAACGCGACGTCGCCGATCATCGGTTCGCCGCTGCACGTGGCGTGCGCGGACAACATCCCGAACCGGCTGGAGATCCTGTCCATGCTGCTGGAGCGCGGCGCCGATCCCAATCTGGTGATACGCAGCGACGACGGGCCGGCGCTGCGGCCGGTGCTCGCCGAGTACGTCGCCTCGAACGAGAACCCGTCGGTGGAGATAGTGGCGTTGTTGCTCAAGTACGGCGCCCGGGTGGTGATCAAGACGCAGTTCCGCGACCCGCACGGCATCCTCAACTCGCTGCAGAACACGGCAGACAAGCCGCGGCTGCTGCGCGCGCTGCTGGAGGCGGCGGAGAGCTTCGATCCCTGCATGATCCGACGGTCCAGCAGCCTGACGGACGCGCAGAAGGCCCTGGTGATGGAGGCGGCCAGGACCCCGCTGCCGCTGACCCATCAGGCGAGGCTGATAGTCCGCAAGCTCTGCGGCACCAGGCTAACGAAGGTCGTCCGGAAGCTGCAGCTGCCGCAGTCGTTGCACCGTTACCTCCTCTACGACTACTACTAGCCGGCGGATCGTTGGGGGTCGAGGCATTTCGCGGGAGGGACGACGTTTGTCGGAGCACTCGCTCGAGTTTCCGGTAAATTGCGAGGACTCGGTTCCTGTATTCCGCGCCCGGTGGTACTCGGGGGGGAATAATTGAAGCCCCGAAAGACGCGGCACCGCGTCCATGTTTTTTTCGAGTCAATTATATATTACGGAGAAGTTGCCGCTCCGATCAGATTTGTTTTACACACTGTTCGTAATTCCAGCCGTGCGTACATTAATGTGTGGAGAAACACATCGCTTTGGTGCAGATCACATTTCAAATTGTGCTGAAGAACAACTGTTTCTAAATTTTAGTTCAGTGACCAGCGCCGTTTTCTTTTTCAGAGCTTCAATCGCACCAAAATCGTAGACATGAAATAAGAAAGAGCGAGTGTCGTCCCATATCTGTACCCGGGATAGCATCCTCGAGGTCTGTCTTTTGAAGACTGGTGAAGATGCGGAGGACAAAGTGTTTGCGCGCTACCGTGAGTCCACGTCAATTCGACGACAAGGAGGCTGCACCGAGGCGCCTCTTGTTTCTACTTAGCACTCTTCTTTTACACGACGCGTGATAAAGTGATATAACGCTTAGGCAGTCCTACATTTATATTTTATCTATACTCGTTACGATTCTAGTCGCCAAATGTACCTTTTGTATGTGTATGTATTTTCTCTCCACTTTTTCGCACGTCGAGAGGATCGCGCGCGATAGGAAGCGACACAGGACTACCCGTCCTGCTTGTAGACGCGCTTCGGCCGGGACTTTCTGCGCGAACGCGCCCCCGAGCACTCGACTCGTCAATACGGAAGTGTCGCGCGCGGGAATCAACTAATTACCCTCGCGGAGCTACGGGGCGAAGTTGCATCTCGCTGTCCCGCGTTTGTCGCCGGACAAACAGCCGGGGAGAGTCTCTCCCTGGGGTCGCCAAGCGATCGACTTTTTTGTACCTTTGTATATACGACGATATATACGCTCAATGTACACTAAAGAGAAATAAAGGAGATTGAAAAACTGGGACGCCGTCCACCTGTGCCTGATCAGGGGGCTCCGCGTACGTACGTGCGGCCGCATGCTTGGCCGCGCGCGATTACGGCAACAATGATCCATACACCATTGCTATCCTCGAAATAGCAGCCCCAATACCGTGGCTTACGTCAAACTCTTGGCAGTCGCCTCGCCCGTGAGGAAATTCGAGGTTCCTGCACACCTGTGCGAGTGCGAGACTTAATGAGCGCGAACGATTTGCGCGAGCGAGCGAGTCCGACGTTCCTCGTCTTTTTATAATAAACGTAAGAAGATATCAAAGACATTAGCGTTGCGTATATCGAGCTGCGTGATGAAATTAGTTTCACTGAAAGTGGGAGACAAAACGAGACGGAGGACCGAAATGTTAAACCAAAAGAAATGTTGGATATTCGAGTACCTGTAATGCATTATTTGCAAATTGGCATGTTGATTGCCTCGTAGAAGGCCAGAGCGATTCTGGTAAACTGCCTGTTATCCTTTGTGTGTGTGTGTGTTTTACCTGCTTGGCGATTCCTGAAAGACACAAAGGCACCTCGTTTTAACCGGTCGCAATACCTCGGTGTCGTTCGCATAGAATTCCTGCAATTAGCAATTACTGTGATAAAATTAAGGGAGATAAATTTAACCGCGGCAGCGTCGTAATACACAAATCTTAATAATTAAATTGCGCCGCGTAAGTTAGATTATGTCTCGGTAAACCCTGCCGGAAATAATTCTGCAAAATTCTACGAAACTACGAAATATAACTGCCAGAATCTAAGAAATTCTACGTAAATTGAAAAAGTGTTATAGAGAGAAATCAACAGGAAAATGCTGGAATCCTTTTGTTAATTTTTGTAATATTCCACCAGTAAGCAGATGTTTTAATTCTTTAAGATTTCGTTGTCTCGCAAATTTTTTAAACCAGTAAAGTTTTGTACTAAATTTCACAAAATCGTACGTTTTCATGAAATACTACTTGCAATAATTTCTCGATTTGAGAACATTGTAATTTGTGGCACTGTTTCGTAGATATTTTCACAAAAAAATTAATGTTTCAACGAAGATGTAAAAATTTCTACAAATTTCTATTTCAAGTCAATCGTGGTTATTTATAGAAATTTTTTTCCGCCGGGGAATTCGAATCGAGTGCTGTATTCCAGCACAGGAGGCATGCGTTAAACAGGCACGAGAATTTTAACGAGTGCGTCTCTGCTCGCCCTCGCGACAAATAGAGGATAGGCGCGCTTAAAGTTGTACCCTCTGTAATTTGGAAATAGCACCGTACGTAATGTGCACCATATTGGATCTTCGGGGGGAGTACGGGAATTCCATGGCGCTCCTCCAAAGCTCGGTTCGAAATATCCACGAGGACCGACTGTGTCCTCGCGATTTCTCGTTTTACGAACGGGCGCCTATTCGCGACGCAGGATTTCAAGTTTAGGCGCAAATAGAAGCGACAAAGGTCAAGATCCGCGCGCTCGTAACCGATCTCAGATTCCGCGAAATGAACGGACGAGATAACGCGAATAGTGAGGAAGACGCTACAGATATTTGTGTAATTGCAAATATTGCAGCTGTGTCTGAATTATAATAATTATTTATATCAATTTTATATTCTATTACACGCTGTTTTTTTTTTAACAATGGTATCGCGACGCGAAACATATTTTAGGAAACAAAGCTGCGGGGTTCGATTACGTCTAAAAAAATAGCAGCTGAAACTTTGTAGAGCCGTACATTTAGATAACGTTGCCCAGATAACCAAGCGTGAGATTCCACACGAAATGCCCCTTCCGTATTGTTACTGTCTTGCCACGACACCATTTGAAGTTGACCGAGCGAGGGCGAGCGTCGAACCTTACCGACCGAGCGTGGGTGAACGTCGAACCTTACCGACCGAGCTGTCACAGTGACGTGATGTGAGCATCATGGCGGCTAGAGTGTTGGGCTCCGTCCTGCGTAAAAACGCAGGATTTCTCGGCGCCGGCAGGTTGCTGGCGCCGAGCAACGCACCGGCGATCACCGACGTGTGAGTTAAATTAATCGCGCTTGAACGTAGCCCTGAAATTAGTCGCGTGCGCGCGTTATGTAACGACATAACCTGTCCGCCCGCCGTTCAGCTCCGGCGCGTAGTTTAGTCCAGATTGAGCGCATCAATTTCAAGGAATTTTGTCGAAATATCACGCTGATATAACTTAACGGTTGATAGACGTTCCCATAAAAGGGTAAACTTAAAAGAAAAATAGTTCGGCGTGACGGGCTCCCCTGACAACGGTCTGTATGTTCGCAGCCAGCGTCGCAAGGGCCACCAATGGAACCCGGACGCGGAGTTCCTCTCGCAGTTCGACAAGCCGGTGAAATATGCCACCGAGAAGATCGACTGGCAGCCGCCGCAAAAGGAGTCCATGCTGGCGATGGGCCCCATGGCCGAGCAGACCATACAGAATGTGAAGCTTAACTTCGGGCCGCAGCATCCGGCCGCCCACGGCGTGCTCCGGCTGATCCTGGAGCTGGACGGCGAGATCGTGCTCGGTGCCGATCCGCACATCGGCCTCCTGCACCGCGGCACGGAGAAACTCATCGAGTACAAGACCTACATGCAGGCGCTGCCCTACTTTGATCGCCTGGACTACGTCTCCATGATGTGCAACGAGCAGTGCTTCTCCCTGGCGATCGAGAAGCTGCTCAACATAGACGTGCCTCTGCGCGCAAAGTACATTCGGGGTAAAAGCGATACGAGTCCCTTTCGATAATGTGGAATATGTTGGAACGAACATGCCTGTCTCTGTACAACATTTGCGAATTGAGATGGGAAACTTATGGTCAGCCCAGCTGGCAAAGTTATTTAATTAGTTTATTACACAACGTTTCGACCCTATTCTTTTGGGTCCTTTTCGAGTGATACTGCAAATCAACATCAATGCAGTTATGAACAATGTAGGTTAATAAATCAAAAGGATTTAGTTAAAAGTTCTCGAAAAGGATCCAAAAGAATAGGGTCGAAACATTGTGCAATAAACTAATTAAATAACTAGCCAGTTGGGTTGACTACAAGTTTCCCGTCTCGATCTTTAATCATTACTGGCGACAATAAGCAAACTCTCTCCTTTCGAACATTTATGAACTTTTGACTCAAGTCTTCACCCCCTCTGATAGCATTTCAAGATGCAAGATGATGTAAAATGACGTCTCTAATGTGATTAAAACGTTATTTGGTCTTGCTACTTGGGATTCTTTCCCTGCTCGCAGTTCTCTTCGGGGAGATCACGAGGATCCTGAACCACATTATGGGCGTTGGTACGCACGCGCTGGACATCGGCGCCCTCACGCCCTTCTTCTGGCTGTTCGAGGAGCGAGAGAAGCTGATGGAGTTCTACGAGCGCGTGAGCGGCGCCCGCATGCACGCAGCCTACGTACGGCCCGGCGGCGTCGCCCTGGACATGCCGCTGGGTCTGATGGACGACATATACGACTGGGCCGCCAAATACTCTGAACGACTGGACGAAGTGGAGGATCTGCTGACGGAGAACAGAATCTGGAAGCAGCGCACGATCAATATCGGCGTCGTGTCCGCGGAGGACGCGCTGAATTGGGGCTTCAGTGGCGTGATGTTACGAGGCTCTGGAATCAAATGGGATCTGAGGAAGGTCGCACCCTACGACGCTTACCATCTGATGGATTTCGACATTCCAGTTGGCACGAATGGCGATTGCTACGACAGGTAGCTCAAAGCGTTAAGAAACAAACGGAATTTCCTGACTGTTTTAAATTGTTTAGCCTTTGTCAAAAGTAATATCTAATTATTTTTATTATTCTTATTGTCCTACGATTATACACTTTGATTTTACGTCAGTAATAATACATACAAAAGCATCCAAATGAATGAGAAATGCCGTTGCAACGTGTGTGTAACTTTCAGATATTTATAACTTATTTGGCGAGACGCCTCTTGCTTTCAGATACCTATGCCGCGTCGAGGAGATGCGGCAATCGCTGCGTATCATCCACCAGTGCTTGAATCAGATGCCCGAGGGAGAGGTTC